TCAATACATTTCGAACTGTAATTTGTCCTCAATCTTTTCTTTACCTCCTATAGGCTCAAAAGGCAGAAGTACAAGTTGAGTCGGAAGGAGGTCCTCGCAAGCGGAAGCGTATACGCAAGAACAAGCATCAGTACGTTGCGATCACAATTCAGTATTTCTTATAGTTTACTGCATTCATTTTAGTAAGAAACAACAAGGAGACTTCAAAAGACCAAAGTTGAGCGTGGTAGAACCAGAAGTTGGCGCGAGAACCTTCAGCGACTTTGATATTGATGAAAGGATACTAAAGGTAAGCTTGTTCTCTGTAAGTTTTGTTCTAATTAGATCGCCTTCTTCTAGGCAATTGGAAATCTTGGATGGAAATGGCCAACTCAAGTGCAAGAATCAATGTTTTCTTTGGCTTTCGAAGACAAGAATATTATGGCTAGAGCAAGAACTGGAAGTGGTAAAACAGGAGCTTATCTGATCCCGATCATACAAAAGTGCATCGCTTACTCGGTGAGTAGCTTGTGCTTTCTTTTCACATTTACTTCTTTTGTTTGCCTTTTTTTACTGCTTCTCTTCTCTTTTTTTTTATTTTTTTAATAGATCGAAGATATCACTTTTGTAGAATCGTGCTGTAGTAAATGTATCCTTCAGTCGATCAAATTGTTGCTGCTCCCGCTATCTCATTGCATTTTTTTGATTTACTTTTCTCTTACTCTCTCACGAGGATACTCGGCAGGAGGGCTTCAGTCACATCACAGCTAAAACTAGTTTCTCTTTCTTGTCCATTTACTCAGCTTTCCGAAGCCACCCTTTCGTATCATCGCTGCAGTTCTCACTTTCTTTTTAATTAGATTTTTTGCACTGGTAATGCCCATAGTTTTGGGTATAAGAAGTTTGAAAATGCATTTTTCTATGAGCCGTAATTGGTTTTTGTTACAGTTGTTGTAACAGAAAGTGACGGTTTTTGCGATCACCTACCTAGCTGAGAGTGCCCTTGCGAAAAAATGACGAATGAATAGTTGATGGAAAGGATTGAAAACTTCACTTCTTGTTGATGAGAATTTTGCTCTTGATTAATTAGATTCGCTTCTGATTCTGACCTCATCTGATTTTTGAAAAATTAATCATTTACAGCAAGACAATGAAGAGCCGCAAGGGCCATCAGCTTTGTTCATCGCACCAACGAAGGAGTTATGCGTGCAAGTGAGCCATTTTCATTTTTTTTCTCTTTATCTCTTGCACAAGTCATATCTTAGATCAATGATCTCTTGGTGAAACTGTTAGAACCCTTGCCATTTCTGCGCGCTCTGAATTTGTCTGATTTGACTTCAGAAGAGAAATCTGTCTGGGAAAACGTAAGCTTGAACG